GGTATAAAGAAAAGAAAAGCGGTAGTAATATTCTTGTTTGGGTTTTCTCTAGCCTGGGTCCAGGCCCTAATTTTGGGGTGATCACTCTTTTTTGCGCTTAGTGCACACCATACCTAATTTAATTGGCATCCCATACTCGATTTCTTCTTTTTTTTTGGTTTAGGATCTTTATTCTGTCTCTAAATTAACTTTCTCGTTAGTGGTGCTGTCCAGAATGAGAAAAAAGAAATAATAAGGGACTTGGGGTAAGTCTAGGTTATCTCCTGCTGAGGGAGACTTGCTGTGCCTCTCCGTGTCTCGCACCACCTCCCCTGGCTTCATAGAAAGGTAATGGGCCCTATATTTTCCAGCTGTTGCTCTTGCCTTGGTGTTGCTTTAACAATTTTCTGAGTTTTGCAGTTTCCAGTGATTGACAAGGAATATTCATCATTTCTTTGCCTTGTGCTGACGACACCTGGTCAGGTGAAATATGCAAATGAGTCAACTGTAGCAAACAACCTGTAATAAAAAAATGGTATTATTAGATTTAACCAACAAATATAACGACTTGTATTAATTTAAGTGTTTTAAAAATAAGTGCAAAATAACATTTGTATTTATCAAATACTAAATATATGTTGGTGGCACTGTTTCAAAATAAACCCGATAAAATGGTCTATAAAACATCCCAAGACACTCCTTATAAATGTAGACCTTTTTTTCAGTTGCCATGCATCAAGGACTAGTGCTGTCCTACTACACATGAACAGGAATTTGAGTTTGTAGTTGAATCGGAATTTAATTTCTAACAAAGCTTCAGTGTCCCAGTTGTTTAAGATGTCTGCATAGACATCTTAATCTACTGGGACACTGATGTCTGCATAGACAGCAGAAGGCTCTGTGTTCGAATCCCGATTGGGGCAACTTTTAATATATATACACATAATATTTACATCCGTTTATCTGTTATGTGCATCCATATATTTTTTTGAAAATCCATCATTATAACTAATGATATAAAATACTTTACCTATACAGTATTACAAATTCTTGTCTTAAATAATACCTTTTTAAAAAATATATTTCTGGATATTATACTTTGTTGATGATATTTTATACTTATTTTGAACATGAATTTTGTTAATGAGACCTAGAAAATTCTAGTCAGATGAGTTACATCTGTTGTGTAGCTTCTCTAGTTACCTTTTATTGCTGATTCCTATAGTTTGATAGCTTTTCACTGGATTCTCTGGCAAAAAAACATATAAAAGGTCATCAAAGGTCAAATAAATATAGCGTTACTACATTCAACAGTATAGTTTATTCGTCATAAAATTATTTGCAAACGACAACATGCATATGAAGACATTGCTTTTTAGTTGGGGTGCTTATTTTCTAATACTACAATGACAGGTTCAATCCATGGTAAATTCACATGTTTTTTTTCATCTGAGAATATTTCATGCAGGGAATAAGATATTAGTTACTGGAACTGAGAGGTCAAATGATTTTAGAAGTGTGCTGCTCTTGTATAAATATAATTGTTTTTTGTCCTTTTCACATTTAATATGATTCTGAAGATCAGGCCTATATTTTTTAAAGAAGTATTTGAGTATTCTAGTATATCTTTCTATTCTCAGTCCAGTGTTAAATTCTTTTTAAATTTTAAAGAATGTATTTATATATATTTTCTGTTGGTGGTGGTAGGGATAAACAAACTTTAGGGAAATCCATCATTAAGTGATATTATGGAGTTTCTTTTCATTGTAGGGATAATTTTGATATCTAAATTTAATTTTGGATGGGAACACAGGGACAGGATTGAGATAAGGGAGAGTGTATATGGATAATGGGATAGCATAGGAATGTTGTACAATGAAGAGAGGATGAGGATAATGCCTGTGAGGGGTTGGGGATAAAGAATTGAAAATGTACATGATGCAGGGGGATAGGGATAAATTGAGGAGGTGGAAATAATGACAGGGAGAATAATTGAAGGGGGAAGTATTATATTGGGAAGGGATAGAGAGCATAACTTGGGTAATTATTCATGTACCATAATTGTATTTATTGCATCAAAATGCTATAGACTCTGCTAATATTTAATGGATGAGAATAATGCCTGTGAGAGATTGGGAATAAAAAATTGAATATGTACATTATGCAAGGGTTTAAGTATAAATTGAGGAGGGGTAATAATGGCAAGGAATTAATGGAAGGGGGAGATAATAATGGAAAGGGATAGAGAGCAAAACTAGAGTAATTATTCATGTACCATTATTATAAATGTGTATTGCAGCAAAATGCTAGTATATTATTCAATGATTGGGGATAATACCTATGAGGGGTAGAAGATGCAGGGGAATAAGAATAAATTGAGGAGGGGGAATCATGGGAGGAAAATTAATCGAAGGGAAGGTAATAATGCAAAGGGATAGAGAGCAAAACTAGAGTAATTATTCATGTACCATAATTATATTTCAATGTGTATTGCAGCAAAATGCTAATACTCTACTATATCTAATGACCTTGTTTATATTAATCATTTTTAAGTGAATTCAGACCAGATCATAAATTAAAGTACATTGAACTGTATGAATATTACACACGATAATCATCTCCTTGAGAAATATTTAATTAGATTTGGATTTTACACCTTCTGAATAAAATTCTTAATTTTTGCATTATAATTAACATTAATGCACGTAAAGGTAATTATGTATTCTAATACGTTATTTTATTACTTTAGAATTTTTTTAGTTTTTCCCAATACTTATGAGAAATAAGCAGTACAAAAAAAGGGAATGTCTCACACATACTAATGAATAGTGATTACTATTATTTTTTGTTTTTAGTGTTGTTTTTATTGTCAATATTGTCTATAGTGTGTATATCCAAATGAAGGACACAACATTTTCAGAATAGTTAAGTGAGTAGCACTTATTTCTATACATAAAATTAATATGCATTAAAATTTTTTAATTTAGTGGAAAAACGGTGAGGGCACATGCCCTTACTGGATTCGTGCCTGTGTATATGATATTAAAGGTATTATTACCAATGCCGACTGTATTTCATACGTAGTTCTGAAAATCATAAATATGAATATCAAACCGAAAGCACCAATTATCATAACCCATCATTACTGTCATTAAAAAGTGATAACAGATCATATTCCAATATAATGTTGTATAATTCATGACAGTCATATTATTGTGGTGTCTTATTGGCTCTCTGCTTCTCATGGTTTTCATCAAATATTTGTGTCAACAGTTTTTACCACTCTATATATAGTGTATTATTATCATCATTATTATTAGAAAAATATTTTATGATAAACATATCGAATGAGGTTTTGCCTATAAGCAGTGGCTGCACCAGAAATTTTCCAACAAGGGGTCTAATGTCCCTGAAGGTAGGTCCACGTTTCCTGATAGATCCCAATTCACCCCTGCCTCACTGTGTTTACAGCAGTTGTTGAGAATAGGTGCCTCATAAAAGGGCAGAAACAGCACATTCAGAGTATTATACAGCGGTCTTCCCTAAAGAAATAACTGGCTTCTATTATTATTGTTATTATTATTGTTGTTGTTGTTGTTGTTGTTGTTGTTGTTGTTGTTGTTATTATATTATGTAATGTATAAATGTGTACTGCATTTCATAAATGTCAGCAGGCCTTTAGGTTCTTATGAATATTTAAATTATTCAAATTATTATTGTTGTTGTTGTTGTTGTTGTTGTTGTTGTTGTTGTTATGTAATGTATAAATGTGTACTGCATTTCATAAATGTCAGCAGGCCTTTAGGTTCTTATGAATATTTAAATTATTCAAATATGAATGTTAAAAACACAAAGAGTATGAGGCTGCAATTACTGCAGTTGCCATAATTATAGTCATTAAAAATAGATAACAGTTCATATTACAATATAATGTTCAATATTTATAACAACCGTAGCTTTATGGTCTGTCATAATTTTCTTTCAAAATATTTTGCCACTTCCTAGGCTTCCTACTCTATATTATTTTAATATTTTGTTTTTTTTATTAATTTTTATTCATACAGCTGTTCTTTATTTCTTGCTCCTCTCAACTTTGGAATAACTACATGGCTCCATAAAAGAACCACAGTTTATTAGAATCATTTAAGTCCTTATTAGCTTCATATTGGTCATTGTTAGTTTATTGTTGATTTTGCTGTTGGATTTCTGTGCCCTACTTTACTTCTTGACCAGTTTTTTTTTTTATTTTTTTTTTTTTAACCATATATATATATATATAGATGGGTGACCCAGTACCCAGCATGTCCTAGAAGGTCGGCTGATATTCAGGGGCCCTCTCTTTTAAAGAAATGAAATAATGTGATGCTTTTATCAGCGGAGTCTCTATTTATGACCATAAAACCATACTTTGGTTTGGGTGCTAGCTTGGTGTTTATTGTTTTGTTTTTTTGGTTTTGTTTTTTGTTTTTTTTCCCGGCTTTTTTCTTTGTGTTCTTGACTTTAATATTGTCTAGCGCATAGAGACCGCGTTTATTTGCGCTATATAAATCCATCTATTATTATTATTTTCATTATGAGGCCTTGGACATGGAGTTGTTTTTAGTTGTGAGAAAAAGTCCTGCTGTTAAAGGAATTGAACCCAGGACCCTGGTTAGAAGACAAGCATATTAACCACTAAGCTATTCAACTCCACAGTCCTCTCCACTTCAGTTCTATAAAGCAGGGCGGGTAGTCGCTGCACTTGACAGTCGTCAGACCTGATTCTATGGAGAACGCAGCGCCACGACACGTACGCAACAGATTGTTTTTTATTATGGACTATTCATACTACCACCAATACTCAGCAGATGGCATTTCTGAGCCTCACATGAAGTGGAGTTGGATTCGTCAGCCGACGGTCGTATGACCGTCGTTCAGCACCGTGTGTGCCCAGCTTATTATCCAGGCTGAAGTAAATTTTATCGTTGAAATTTTTCCAGTTATAATAGTGTTGTTGCTGTTAACATTTCATTACTGTTCTTATTCTAAGTACTGTTTCCTTTGTTGTACATTGTAATCAAAGTTGTTTTTTTGTAAATCAGATCTCCAAAATTTTGGCAATTTGTGCGTAAAGATTTTGAATGCTAAATACATCACTGTTGTATGTATGCAAAAGTATTCTGTTTACTGTACCTGGATTATGTAATACATTTCTTATAGCTTAAAATGTGCATTATATTATTATCATTACAGCTGTTGAAGATGACGCAGTACAAGTATGTGCAAATGTGTATTCATCCCCTGCCATCCCCCGGGACTACTTTTAGTCGTACAATGAGCAAAGACCAATAAATTCTGATTAAGAGCATCTTTGTCGAACAAGGTACCTTAATTCTGAGAGATGAAAAACAATGGCGGCTCACGGTGTAGTCAAGGTAAAATGACATGCTGATTTGTGAATAATTAAATTGTTGCTCAGAAGTGATTTCATTAATAGTGCGGTCATATCATTTTTTTTATGAAATTGAATGTTATGAGCACAAAGTTTAATAACATTGATAAACATGTGGTAGGATATTAAAACTATTATTAATTTGTGTCAGCACAGCTGTTCCACATTTTATGTGTGTTATAAAAATGTATACGCAACCAATCATACTTAACACTATTTCAAGGCTTGAAATAATGGTTTTTTTAAAGGGAAGATATATATATATATATAGGAAGGGAATCATTGCCCAGTCTGGTGTAGCCTCATAATTATCAACAACTTTTGAGCATTTCAGAGTGAAAATACTAAATTGGTTATTCAATGTCTTTGAACCAGGGGCGGATCCAGAGATGTCCAAAGGGGTGGTCGAAAGTGGGGGGCCGAAATTTGGGCCGATCGAGACAACAATGCCCTAGGGGGTCCGGGGGCATGCCCCCACGAAATTTTTGCGTTGTAGACGCCAGAAAATAACATTTGAGGCGTTGTGGGCTATCATTTCTTTCTTTTTTTTTTTTTTTACGTCCCAAAAGGGGGGGGGGCCAGGGCCGGGCTGGCCTCCCCCCTAAATCCGCCCCTGTGAACAATTGCTTAATCAACATTGATGTATAATTTAGAAGAAGCATGGAAAGGTAGCAAATGCCATAAGTTTTATACCTAAAGGAAGATGATGTTCTTTATCGTGGGAATCCAGGGGCTGTAGCTTTTCTTGCAATTTATCTATTTTTTATCTAAATTATTTCACATTTGGTTAGACAGTTTTTGGCTGATGCGGGGAGGGGGGGTTGGGGGCGTGGAATGCATCTTTCTCCACCCCTGAATCCACTAATGGTAGGATGAGAAATATATCAACAAAGATGCAATCTGTACTTCTGGTCACATGCACACGTACCAAACGTAGCTTTCATTGCTTCTAATCTGTCCAGTGATAGCACATGTCCAGCTTTTGCACTGCTCGGTTTTAACCTAGTCTTTTTTTTAGGGCACAATTTATTCAGCTAATACTAATCTAACCATGCACAGCTTTCAAAACTTATCCACAAAGACTGTTTCCCATGCTGTTCCTATTAGATTTAATAATCATTAAACTAAACAGTATCTTTTTGGCCAATTAGCTCACCTGCCGTCATGAAAAATGAAAATGTCAGGACAAAAAATAAAAGTTTTCTTTATTTTTATTACGCTTTGCCGCTGCTTTTAAATCTCCAAAAATAAGATATGTATATTTTTTTAATTTATAAATTTAAATCTTTTAACACTGTTAACATTCAGCAATGAAAATCTATTTTTATTTTTTAATCCGTCTCGATATTTTTAGCAAAACTATCTGCTAAACAAAATAAAAAAAAAATTACAGTATTGGCTTTTCCCAGCAGTACTGGGGAAAGCCATTGTTTTTGTTCTGATTTTTTTTTTTCTTTTTTCTTGCATATATTTTATCTTTTTGCACTGTTTTTTTTCTGGCCGTCACTTTGGTCACTTCCCATGCTTAGAATTTTTCCATGCTTTGCCAAATACCAAGGATGTGAAACCTAATATTTAGTGTCAAACTATGGTGGGGTGTATGTGTGAGGACCAATTAAAGTGATTTAAGGTCAAACAGTCTACACGTATATTTTAAAAACCAGTCAGTTGTTCTGAATGAAACTTACGGGGAAAGTTTAATCAAGTTACAAGGAAGAAATTTTTATGCGTTAATAGTGACAATCCAGTGTATAATTTAAACCTTGTATAACAGTTTGTCAAAGGTCAAGTAAAGGGTTTAAATTTTTGTGACGATACAGAGTAGGGTGTACATATTTCGAAAACGGATCAACTTATGTGTGGAGAAATAAATTAAACAAACAAACAAACAAACAAATCTGAATGAAACATTCGGAAAAATGTAACCATGTGACAAGGAAGATAGTATTATGTGTTGGCGACGAATCAGTCAATGGTGTACTTTAGAGGGCCAGTTAAATTTTTGAGATCCCAGACGTGAATATCTATAAAAAGTTTTCAATGGGTGTAAACGTAACTTTTTATAATAGTTTGTAAATGTCCAGTAAAGAAATGACTGAATTTTTGTGATGATCCGGCATTTTTTCCCCCACTTCATTTTTTTCCACTTCATTAAAATTATATTGGTTTTCCGTGTTTTGACTTTATACAAACGACTTTTGCAATTTCAACTTCATTTCGCAATAAAGCAATGAGGAAAAGCCCTATGTTCTGTTGTTCAAACATACATAGTAAGTCTAGTTTTTATTTTTTCCGCCCTCCTTTGACAGTCTTTAAAAAGTTAAGTTTTTAAAACAAGATATAAAAAAGTGTCACCTAAGGTGTAAAATATGGACTGAGAAAAATATAAAATTTCAGTCCACAAAATACATTTAATAAATATACTAACAAATCAAAGTGAAAGGGTCTCTGTTGGTGGTTTGTTCTTTTTCAAATTCCTTTCAACCAGGGTGAACAATTATTTAGGTAGCTATTTTAAAATACATTTAATTAATGTAATAACAAATCAAAATGAAATAGTGTCAGTTGGAAGCTTTGTTCTTTCTTAATTCCTGTCAACAGAGGATCGAAATGTTATTTGGGTAGATATTTTACAGGCTGTGTTGTGGGAATAGGGATAGGGTAGAATATTGATTCAGTCTTGTCAGCTTGGAATAAAGAACTACGTTTAAAGATGATTAAGACATTTATGGTCAATTGAAATACAAGGTGATAAAACCATAAAAACTGGGATAAATGCCCTGAGGTCTGAAACACTTTGTTTAACGGTGTGAAAGTAAAGATGAGTTATGGGCACATTTAGCATTAGGCTTGGTGGAGGGCTGTCTGGTAGTGTTAGTTCTACAAAATAATACCTTGTTTGTTGTACACCTCCAGAAATGGTGATATATGGACAAGATACTAGGCCAGGTCGATCGTGCACATCGTAAATCCTGTTTGTAGTCAACTCAAATTATTTGGGTGAGTAAATTTACATTTTTTCCAATTACGTCATTAAGTGCTCTGTTGAATGTGGTGTTGTTTTGCTGAACGTTAACATAAAACAATTTCAAAACAAAGTTGATGAATTTTGACAGAAAATATGATCTTATTCTTACATTAGGATCAAAATCAGTGCTATGAAACTTTTATTATTATTATTTTTACCCAATCTTAAATGGTTTCTCCCAATTTTGGTTATCCCTTGGGCTTTGACTGTAAAAGTACAAGAGGTCTTTCTGTACCATACAGAGAGCAGAAGAGAATGAAACTGTGTATATTGATGAATTATGAAGCCCTTTTCCTGACAAGAGGCCTTTAAGATACAGTATACTTCACATGCATGGATGATAGATTATTGTCATATTCATACTTGTACAATGATATTCTTTAGAAGAAATGTGATATTTATTTTTGGGGAAATAAACCCAACATTTGAGATGTCGATGCCTGAAAACATTGAAAGGAATAATTTTATGATTTCCACAGTCAATATACCCTGAATTTTATAGATTTGTTGATAGTTTTTATAATCTAGTAAGAATATGTGAGGAAACTTAATAGTGTGCCTACACCAGTGGCTGATACAAGGTGGGGGGGGGGGGTGGCCAGCTGACCTGGGCCCCCTAAAGTTTATAAAATTGAAAAAATTTACTATTGGCAAAGTTTGGAGTAAAAGTGTTAGGACTTCTCTGTACTAAAGTATACAATACTCAGCCACATTCTTATGCTAATAGTAACATTTAACTACAATAACGACAATGGTTTTTGGATAGCAAGCCTACTATAATACTACTACTATATTACTGTACTTGTCAAGTATATACACCTCAGTAGGTTCCCCATTTTAGAGAAACAATATGAAAGGTGAAAAGTTGATGAATTTTTAAAGTTGTTTTTAAATTTCCACTTTATTTTTATATATTATTAATTTTACTATGTTTTTTCATTCTTTTTAGTTGGTCATGAAAATTAAATGTTATTGTGAACATTAAGAAAAGGTCAAAAGGACACTTTTTAACCGACCTATTTCAAAACCACATTGCAAAGCAATTATCGCTGGAACCATGCTATCAACACAGTAGTTCAGAACATAGATTGAGCAATGGCCTGTGGAGATGATAGTTTGTTTAACGGACATTGCTGCAAGTGCCGTCACATTGCTGGCGGTTCGCATTCAACGCTGCTAGTATCAAAAAGCCATTGCAGTGCTTGGCATTGAGCGCAGCTAATATGGAATAACTATACTCTCGGAGTCAACGCAGATCCTAAATCTCCATGCGAGTATCTAAAAAATTGACACAGTTTCCCGCACTTCCACCATCAAGCAAAAATCTAACAAGGAAAGTGGCCCATCTCCTGCTGAAACATGTTTGTTTCATTGGAGCCTCAGCGATGGCTATGGGTTGTTAAAAACGCAGACATACATGCCTGACATGGGCATCATTTATTGTGTTTTTAGTGTTTTAAAGTTTACTGTTTGTATTTAATTGTTATGTTCTGAATATATGTTAAGAACTTTATAAACAGATGCTCTTGATGTAGCTTCTCGCAACTTTGGATGCCTGTGGATGACGTCATGCGTGGCAAAAAGAGAATGGAGTGAAGATATTTAGGGTGCCTACTTCGCATCCTGTAAAGATTCTTTTTCTTGCAACTGAAAATAATTTTCCACGGCTACCATGCCTCGATTGCAACTTACTTAAAAAGCATCACATTTTTCCATTCTGTGAGATACCGACTTGTTATTGGATGTCAGAGAAATAGAGAAATTATGTTGTCATTGGATCACATTACTTGAGGTTCCAATAATATAGCTGTCGTGGGATAACGACTAGATTACTTGTGGTTCATCAGAGGTTTTGCCTTCTGTGCGGATACAAGAGTATTGGAGTGGTGTCACATTTCTCGCAATTCCCGGAGGAGATGTGCCATCGCATTGCTTACGATTCCCTAAGAATTACTCACATGGAATGATAACTGCAGCATATTACTCGCGGTTCATAGAGCGCTGGTAGAACTGTAGGTCTGCTGTACAAATACCTAGACAGATGTCCATTGATTCTTAGTACAACAGGCAGTTGTAACGTCCGCTATGTTACTCGCAGTTCACAGAGCACAGAAGATGCAGGACAGCTATCGCATTGACATCAAATCAATATAACTTCTTTCCAGCGCACTGGGTTTCTATGACGATGTTTACATGCGACCAGATTACAATGGTGATGGAATTATTTTCTTAATTAATTTGTTACAAATCATAAAATCAATTCGTTGAAGAAACATTTCGGGGTTGTAATCATTATTGCATTGATTGCAATGAAATTGATACTTGAATGGCCGGTTGCTGGAGGGCGGTAGCAAGAGAACAACAAGCCGGAGGGTCTAAATATAATTAAACAGTCTTGCAAAGATCATTATGAAGGTTTTGTTTTATTGATGCATTTATAATAATACTAATATTAATAATCATAATAATAATAGTAATTGTAATAACATTTATGACAATAGTATAGTAAAAATAAATATGATAGGCCAATTAATGCTACTGAAATAACTTCAACAAAAAAATATGCTTGTGTTTCAAGTAGTTCAGAAAATACAGTGGCATACAAAGCTGTGATATAGAATATGAAGAAAATAAATTTAAGTTTTTGAGAATAGGTAAATCAATTAACTATTTTTTTTTTACTTCATTGTATTAATCAAAAAATGTTTTTAAAAAAAATATGGCACAAAAATATGCAGTAAAGTAAAAATAGAGAAGGGACGGAACTACTATCTCAGGATCCATTAGCAGGGAAACGCCCTGTAAGAACTAAACTACTTTACACAGAACAAAAAAGAACATTTACTTGTCAAATTTCTTTATGAGATCCAAGAATTGTCAAGTATTTATTCAGTTATTGAATTTTATTAACAATAGCATTTTGTTTTCTAATGCATCTGTTTTTTCCGATGATATTCATAAAATCTGTTTTTGTCCTTGGGACCTGGTTCAACCTCTGTCAAACACCAAGATTTTTTATTTTTAAGTTACATAGTGGCAGATGTTATTGGTCCATCACTACTTGTACAGATTTCTACAGCTTCTGTACACCTGCAACAGCTTTTCTCACAGAATGCTTGTGAACAATTTACAAATTACGAGAGTGATCTGACATCCTATGGTGTCATTTGCAGTTTTTTTTTTCTTTTTTGTTTAATATTTGTAATTGTTTATTTGTAATCTCTTAGATCAAAGTTTATTTCTATTTGTATTCTATATACATATTTACATACATATTTATGCAAATAACAATAAATGGATTTAATATAATATGAACAAATGAATAAACATGTGATCGAAGAAACTAATGATATTTATGATGTGCCTATATATGGTCATAGACTGGGTGGCTTTAATTAGTTCTTTGTGATTTGTGAGTCATGTAGGTAAATGCAATGACATAAAGAGTGGCAGGGGCGGGGTGTCACGGTGTATGTGTTGGGCTCATACTAAACAAATACTGAATGAGTGAAATGATGGATGGATGGAGCAAACAATGAACGAACAAGTGAATGAATGAATGAATAAAATAATAAATGAATGGATGAATAATGAAATAAATGGATGGATATATCAAATGAATTAAAATAACATAAACAAATAGATAAATGAATGAATGAATGAATGCATTGATAAATGAATAGATAGATTAATGAATGAATGAATAATTTAATACAATAAATTAATGAATTTATGAATATAAACAACCCCACTTCCTTAAGTATACTTGGCAAGCCAGTTGCTTTTGTATGAGAATGCAATTCGACTGAGGGGAGGACCGCAGGTTGTGACATTTTAAAAGTGTTTGTTTTCCATTCATAAGAAGCATCGATAATGATAGTAGTATCATCCATGTACAAAGATGCGGTACTGAATATATTTAGTTACTGATTAACATCAAGATTTTTGATAGCAGTACGCATTAGCGATAATGGCTATTTTCATCCACTCACATGAAGTGGCGACTAGCTGAAGAGGGTTAAGATGGAACCACAACACAGTGCATAAATTCATATGACGAAAACCTCATCATATTGCGGTCCGGAGGGCATTAATCTAATGTGATTAATGCATAAGATACAGCGCGTTCTTGTTAGCGTCCCAACGGGTGACGATGCAGCTGTAATTCAACGACTCCTCTGTCAGAACCTATTCTAAAATACTAATGTTAGAATTATCTGAAACGGTAATATATCCAACAAAAGAACTCATTAATTATCAGTAATTTCAATAATTCAAGTAGCTTATTTAATTATATGCATTATTCCATGCGGTTAACTATCTTTCTAAATGGATTAGCTGATCGGGCTTCTGGTACAAATTGGTCAAAAGTTCATTTTAATATGTTAAAAACTGTACCAAAAATGTCCAAAATCTTATTAAAATATTAAAGCAATTTTTCTCAAAAATAGCTTTAATTTGGTTGAATTTTCCTCTGAAAATTTTTTAAAAAAAAATTAATATTTAATTACTAAGTATTTTGATAGTAGAGGTAAAGACAAAACATTTTTAATTTTTTATTTTTTTATTTTTTTTTATTTTATTAGAATATTTAAGTAAGTTTTCTCAAATTTTCTTACTTAATCCTCTTCATGTTTTCCATTGTCCTCTGTCCTGGGCCAGCCATGATATTTCATTGGTTGTTCTTGACATCTGTTTTCTTTCTTCTTCACTGTTCGTCTCCATGTTTTCTAAGAAAAAAGCTTTAATTTGGTTGAATCGTCCTCCGAAAAATGTAAAATATTTTATGTTTAATTATATAATATATATGTATGTCACATATGATACATATATGTGTATATGTGTTATATGCACGTGTATGTGTGTATATATGTATATATGCAGTATATGTATGTCTTCGTATGTGTATGTGTGTGGCCTTATATACATGTTTAATACATGTATATGTGGCAAAGACAAGCCAAACCAGTCACTCGTCGCAAATCGTGTTTCAGAGAAAATGGCCAAAACATGCTGGAATGTCAAATTTTTAAAAATCTATTTTATTGCACTAAACTAACCTTTATATATCTACACATCATTCTATGGTGTTATTTTCCCCATTTTCAATGTTAAAACAATACTTTTTAAGGATTTAAAGATAGTTTCTGCATGAGAAATGCCTGAAATCATAAAATTTGACGGTTAATTTCTCATACATTGTTCTTTAAACAGCTGTATGTTTAAACGCCTGTAACCTCATAAGGAAATGTCCGATTTGAATGGTTTTTTTACCATTTTATAGCTAATATTTTACTCTCTAACACTGTATTAATAACTCAAAATCGATTTTTGCGACGAGTGACTGGCTTGGCTTGTCTTTGCCACATATGCATAAAACAAGGTAGCTACATGAACAATTATTTTGTTTCTTCAGCTTTGACCTTATCTTGTTTTTTTTTTCTTCCCTCTTTATTTTGCTTTTATGTCTATGTTTAATTGACGATCCTTGTAATTTATTTTTTAAGTTTTAGTTTAAGTATTGTAGTTTCTGAACGCACTGCCAAATTGGCTTGTGCCACTAATACAAAAGTATACGTTCAAATAAATTATTATTATTATTATTATTATTGTTATATCTAATTTTAAGAAATACAAACATAAATCGGACAAAAGATGTTTTTTTTCTTGTTTATTTGAAATGTAGACCAAAACTTAAAGCAGCAAGTCTGTCCGATGGTAAAATAGATAAATCTAAATACCAGAAATCATTTTTCGCCTTTGTCTCTCTTACTCTGACATTTGTCTTGATTGATCAAATTGAGATGAATTGCCTTCGTAGCGATTTAAATATATAAACACATTTATAAGATAATACAATAATTCACAAGCCTACTTCAGCTCCAGATAAATAGCCCTTCGCAAAATTTGTTATTTAGAAATTGCGTTTCTTACTATGATCCATTGTGCGTCACGTATCTTGTTCAACGCATGTTTTATTTGGTCAAATAACCCAGAAACTAATGTCTCCTAGCAAATAATATTCCCAAACAACGCTGTGATATCAAGTGTCTTATTCATTCCGCACGGAATTTATAAATTTAAATAGTAGCGGATTATTCTGTTCATACAAATTGATACATGAGGATATCGTTGATCAGTTATCGTCAAGTCTCAAAGGAAATGATTTTCCATGAGAAAATTGAACTAATTCATGACTCGTGGGGATGTATGCCAAGTAGGTTTATTATTTTTGCATTTCTTTTCGGTAGCAGATTGCATCATTATATATTGCACATAAATTTCTTCTTGATGTATTGTCTATTCCTATATATTCTTTAATATAATGTATCAATTATACTTCTAAAAGGGTTATTAATGTAATACTAATATGTCGGTCTTATATCAAATAATTTAAAATATTTTCAAGGTCTCTGTGTGCTTAATGTTATTACCCCATTCGTTGGATCAAACGTCTGTGTATTAAATAGCTTCTGCTAGGTTACTCTGTAATTTTGCAGCAAATAATCAGAGTACTGACATTTAAACCTACTGGGTCCTTATACTCATGGGTGGAGAGAAACTTTATTAATTTTGAAATTGGCACATTCAAAATGTTTGTGTAGCATTGTTATCTTTTATGTAATGCCCATTTTATACAGTATACAAGGTTATTAAAGTAATGGACCTAAGAAAGAAAAAAGTGGCCTGTTTAATCTGTTCTTTTTCTCTTTCTGCTCTTTGAGTCTCCTGCTTTTTCTTCTGCTTTTTCTTTATGTTCACCTTACCTTTTATTTACTTGGACATGGCACTTATTTGCGCCTTATATATCTACCTATTGCTTTAAAAGCAGTAGCAGTTAAAAGCAGTAGAAAAAAGATGGTTTGCCAGTCTGATGAACCTACTAGATTAGTGGTGAAACATTACTGAATGGAAGTAACATCATACTTTTTATTTGTTTTGGAATTGGAAAAAAATAATAAAATAAATCTACCTATTATTATTATTATTATTATTATTATTATTATTATTATTATTGTAAACATGCTCCAACAAATTATTTTCTAGACCCTTAATGAAGACGCTACAGTATTTCTGGGGCACTGGATAATCCAATCTTAATCTTAATTTTGTTAATCTAATCTTAATTTTGTTAAATACTACTCTTTTATAGCAGCTTCAACTGTACACCATACTGGTGTATTCATAGAGAATAACATTCACATTATGTTGTTATTCTAGAATATGTTGTACTGATGCTTTTTAGAAGTTCATTACCCATAATGCTCCATGAACAAGTGAATTCCTCTGGGATTTGTTGCGATATGATTATAGAGTAAAAAGTGTGGGTGTAAATATCTCTAAATCTGTTGTCAATTACGTGAATAATCCTCAGTAATCCCGGTCTAATCTTCTGAATCTGTTGTAAATTCCGTGTATAATGATCCAGCAGTAATGTTGTACGGTTGCGGGATTTTGAATGTGATCTGATATATCGAATGCGATGAAGCGGTTTGTTGGCATGTCTCTGTTGTGCATCACAGAATTGCATCAGAAACAGATCTAGAATCCCATTTAGAAAAAAAAAAACAACAGGCATTCAGAAGAGGGTGCTATTTCAGAATCTATTGCAGTGCTGTATCTAGGGGGTACTCACACCCTCATCAGTTNNCCCCCCCCACAAAAAAAATCACGCTCAAGTAGTTAAAAATCACCTCAAATCACCTTATCTTACTAATTTATCGAGTCTCCCACTTCACCTTTGTGCAACATCAGCCCACCTCCCCCTGCCATTTCGAGACTCATGAGATACACCGATCTATATGAAAATTGGCTTTTTATACACTAAAAAACAAGGGGGATCCTGCCATGTACCCCTCCCAGTCTATTGTACAGTATCTTTAGCTGCACATAATTTTTATTGTTTTATTACTTGCCACATGAAATACTTTTATAGCCAATAACCAATTATAGCCAATAGCCAATAACTTGATGCTATGGATGTTTATGTTTTCAATTTGCATAATGTGGATGAATTTTGCCACATCAAAGTTATGATAATCATACCTTTAATGAGGTCACTTGTTACGTCACAGCAGATCACATAATGAAGAGCTCGAGCATATTTTCATTTTCAACCGGCATATATGAATTGATATACTCTTTCCAAAAGTATAACTAAGTTTTAATAATCAATAAAATTATATTTTTTTTAACTACTAGTAGTCAAGCATATAATACTAATAGAGATTTATTGGCAATTTTATTAAAATTTTTATAGTAGTGCTATGATAGTGTAACTAATAATCAATTTAGATATAGCGAATATATCAATTTGAGGAAGAATTGCTCAAGGCGGTTTTC